CAAATCCTTTAAAAAGGGACTGTTTTCTCAACCTGAGCCAATATAACGCTGGCTCAAAGATCGGTGTGGTTTGGAGCGGCTTAAAGAGTTTCAGACAGAAGGTGAATACAGCGAGATGAATCAGCTGATGATGTAACAGCTTTTGCCCGGTCGGGACCGTTTCCTAAATGCTGCGAGGACGTCTTGTTGCTCACCCCGTCGCTAGTAGACCAGGACGGGGGGACGGAGGGGCTCCAGATGAGCGGCATGCGGCACATGGTAACCGTATCGTAATGGTTTTGTCTTCCACTCTTCTCCCCGTCGTTATGTTTTACAGGGAAGACCAACTGCTCCCAAACAATCTCTGGAGAGTTTGTCCAATGTAGAGCAACAACTCGTGCCGTCACGACGCCGGCCCACAAACCGATGTGTGATGTCAGCACAACTACGTCCGCTTCGTACGTTCTCTGGCTGAACAAAGTTTTCAGTCATCTGTAGATCAATTTGAATCCGGCCTTCAAGATGGCCGCCGCTCCGACTATCCGACCACCGCGGTCCCAATGGGAATGTCTGTTCTCTCCGACTCTATTTACTGGAGAGACACACAGGAGGATCAGGTGAGAATAAAACTATGTAGGACAGTTACCGGCTGCTGCCACCCCTGTGGTCTCCATGGGGGGGGGGGGCTCATTTATTACCATTTGGCCATTTCAGATAGAAGATTTGTTGGAAAGATTGCAGTGGATTTTAGCCCATTGACAACGAAAACATGAGGGGCTGTTCCTTAGCTAGGAGAAGAGGGAGGGTCCGGGTGGGGTGAGGAGGACGAGGAGGGGCTGCATGGGCGCAGATGAACACGTGACCAGCAATCCAAAAAGCCCCTCTCATGCGGCCTGTTTTGCATTAGAAACACAATCTCTTGTGTTCTACGACGCAATAAACGCAGCTGGTGTCCTTCTCATATCTGCATGTCCGATTCCAGGCAGGAAACGCCGCAGCCAGACGCACAGGCAGGACTCTGCCGATGCCACAGAAACGTGTCTCATCAGTACTGATGTCTTTCATTAGTCGGTTTGGTCACATGCACGGAGAATATTGGTGCACCTCGAGGTGATTCCACTGAGTGACTCTCAGAGGTTTAATTCAGAACCCGTTTGACGTCATCCACGGCGCCGAGCCACATCTCAGCCGCCGTGAAGCAAAGACATTAAGAAGCACCTTCTGACACGTTCATCATAGAAAATATCTGATTTCATCACTGTTCTTTATCAATCCAAGCTGCTAAATAACTTTAAAATAAGAAAATACGTTATATAACAATGTTATGTATTATGTTATATAATGTCCAAAAATTAATTATATAAAATTCAAGACAACTAAATATAAAAATATACATATATATATATACAGTAAACTGTAACAGTGCTGATGTGTAATAAAGACGTGTCGTCTACTTTAATTTAGTCTGAAAAACAAACCTTTAGTTGTCTGTCACAGATGTGAATCATCAGAAAACACACATTGTTGTTCAGGGAATGAAAAGAGAAACTCAAGAGTGTACTGGTGTGTTTACGTGTCTACGTCAAATGCTGCAGGCGGCATTGTTGACCTCCAAAACGTCTGTGGACAACAATCAACACTCTTTTGCTGATGGAGCTTTGTAAGACATTACATGCATTGTATGTGCACATTAAGGATGTGTTCTATGAATTCATGAAAATTTTAAAGTGACAGGTTTGATATCTGCGTAGCGACTGTGAAGATAAAACCAAACTCATTACAGCGTCAAACCAGATGCATAATGCAACACGCGGCGCCGCTACACGCCGTCTCCACGCGGTGTAGTGCAGTTTTATGGGCTGCATAATGAAGCTCAAGTGTGACAAACGGGGGGAAGAAACCCCCTCTGTGCCGTTCTACGGGCTAACCTGCACCAACAGCCTCGCCCGGCTGCACTGCAGCACCATAAATTACCGGGCCAACAGCGGCCCAACGAGAGCACGCGCAACGCTCCCCCGATCCCTGAACGCAAGCCGCCCCCGCCCTCCACGCCGCGCCGCGTGTGCAGAGAACTGATACCGCTGTATTGTTCCTGCACCTGAGCACACAGCGCTGTGCAACGAAGAGCGCACATTCGTGTTGACCCGAGCAGATTGATGTGTGACTTTACGCGTCGCTGGTGCGCGGATAAGATGACCATGCTTGCTTTCTGGGGGGAAACGGGAGCTTGGGTTGTGCAGCAGTGGTTTAACAATAGAGTGTGGCTAAAGCTGTGGTGACGGTGATATGTCCATATAGATCAATACTAGACTGGAGCAGGCCGCGTCATAACACAAGCGACTGAATCCTAAAATATAAACCAGGGACCCACGTTTCTTTTTATAGCGCATACATTAGCAAAGATGTTTGAGATTTCTGGCATTTACCTCGTTCTCTATGTCTCCATGTCCTGTCCCTCCATCTCAGTCTCATTCCCTCTCTTTATAGTCACTTCCATCCCCCCACCTTCCTTTCATTAATCAAGGGAGTAACAATCTACACCCATGAGAGCGGGTGGGACAGATGGTGGAGTGGTGACGGTGGATCGGCCGCTCCGATTGCTCTCCAATAAATGTCCCTTCGACAGGTAGAAAGAGTGTTTTCAATTATCAGGACCGCAAACACTTCACAAGCTTGGGAGATAATATCAACTTCTTGTAGCTGTCCAATCACTTCTCTCTCAGAGGACACTGGTACGATGAATAATCCTGCCTTCAACTCACAGTGAAAAAGACCACAAACTATTGCGTTCGCTAAAATAAAAGACGATCTAACAATTAAAAGACTGTTGAGCAAAGAAAAGTTCCAATCTCTTTATGTCTCCGCTGTAGCTTGAAGGCCCCAGGCAGCCATTTTGTTTCTGTGTTTTTGTTCGCATGTAGGGCAGCGCGTCTCTGAGCGAGGGGCCGTCCCACGAGCGCCGACGGGTCGCTTAAAAACAGCTCGGGCCTGCGATCACATGGACCGGCCTTATTCGGTTTGCGCTCAGCTGTTCTCACCTTTTCTCACACTCACTAAGAAGAAAATCACCGCTCTTTCCCTTTTAATGGAAATGACCTCGGACTGGACGCCGTGTCCAAGTCAAGGCTCCATTCCCTGCAGAGCTGTTTGCCTTTGTCTCAGTACCTGCAACTGATAGTTGAGTCTGATCTACTTTAACTCACTAAATGTCAGGAGATGAGAAGATTCTCTCGTGTGGATGCTAAACATCAGTAGCTCTTTAGCTAAACTCGGTTGTTTAATCTGCTGTTGTTGAAACCTTTGGACGGAGCACAGCAAGCTACTCCCACTGTCTTCATGCTAAACTAAACCTAGCTTCATATTTAACAGATGAGTGTAAATAAAGTGAATACAACTTTTTACTGAAATGTCCTTTTAGAAATGTAGAGTTGCGTCATCCTTTGTTAAGATAAAAAGTCAATCATATCACGTAGCTAAAGTGAAGAATGTATTTCTTCTTCGTAATGAAAGCCTTGAAATGTCGAGGACTCCGCGAGAGGGGGGGGGGGGGTTCTAGTTCTTTGCTCAAAGGTACTTTAAAAATGCCCTCGAGCAAAGAATCCTGGATGCTCCTCTACTAGCAGGTCCAGCTGTGGTTTAGATTCCTTTGGACAGTTTGGGGAAGGTTTAACTGCGTCGGCCTGAGAGGACAGTGTGTGTGTCTGCGAGTGGCCGTGCCCGTTAAAGGCCTTTCCAACTACAAAAGCTTTAGGAATATTGGGGCTGTCCTTTCGGCACACGTGCTTATCACTGGGCCGGCATCCATCATGGAAGCGTTGGCTCCATCTCACCGGGCTGTGGGTTCAGCGCACGGTGTTGGTGTCGTGAGTCACCATTTTCCCAGAGAGCGCCCCTTCACAGTGTAGTGCAGTAGAGGCCTGACACCCCCCCCACCCCCCCACCTCTGTAGATCACACAGTACGTGACACAGTCATGGCAACTGGAGCGTCCTTGGGGGGCTTCACTGTGCTCTCTCTATCTACTGTAGGCTAACACCTGTCATTGGCCAGATGATTAGCAGTCGCCCCTCGGGTGACAGGAGCTTACGTCAGTGACCCGCCGCACGCGGGCGACATGGATTACAGGTGCGACAGGGATCAACGGGGCTTCAATAGCCGAGTCCGCCGCACCGTGGAGCTCCTTCATCTCTGCATCGGGGCCCGGGTGGCCTCTGGTGCACAGGGGCGTTAATCTGGCCCACTGAAAACCAGTCACGGGCACTTTTTCTCACTAAAATGGTCAGAACTAGTGGGGGGGGGGTGTTCATGTCATCTGTATAGAGACACATAACATGTACACGTGTGTATAGTTCTGCCGCACTGCAAAACTGCTACACACACCTGAGCGCTGCCGGATCCCGACGTGCGGGGATCGGCTGGATGACGGGCCGGAGGGGGGGGCGCAGTGCGGGTTTCACCGCAGTCCCCCCCGCCACGCGTATTCCCCGCTACATGAGTGAAAACAGATGGAGGCGACGCATCATGGCCCGACCCCCCCCCCCCGCCGCCCTGCTCCAACTCCCGACGTCCACCATGGCGCAAGTTTCCGTATCGTGACGTTCGCCCATCGGGGAGCGTGTTCCCCCCCCCCCCGTCCCCCCGGTCCCCCCGGTCCCCCCGGCGAGGCTCTCATTCAGCCACACGGACCTCCACAAGAACCAACGTAGCCGCTGTCTGAAGGAAGAGCAGCCGTTCTTTCCCGCCAGCCTCCTCGTGGGCTTTTCCCGCGCTGTCCTAGGTGCTGAAAACTTGAAAACGCCCACAGTGGAAATATCCGCATTATAGCGCATCGAATCCGCTCACTGCCTCTTCCTCTTCCTCTTCCTCCCCCCCTCACCTCGGTGCTTCTCCCCCCTGAACAATGCCGCAGATGACCGGTTACGTGTACCCCGAACGCCTCCCATCAAAGCCCGCATCCGATCCCGAACCCGCAGCCCGGTCCTCGGCCCGGTGAAGAGGAGGAGAAGCCGGTTCCGGTCTTACCTGCGCCTGATGTCGGTGTCCCGCAGACAGTAAGGGAGGAAATGTCTGAACACCCGCCTCTCTCTCCCTCTGCACAGAACTGAGATGCTGCAGAGGACTGCGCGTCGCTAGATGCCTCCTCACTTCTTCTTCAATGGGGGGGGGCAGTGCAACATTTCGTCAAAGATGGCGGACACTTTTGACGTCAGCAGCTTTTTATGTCTGTCAGGAGGAGAGAGGCTTCCCACCACTGTTTTGTTGTGCACGTGTCCGTTGTGTACATACGCAGGTATCTATTCACCTCCACTGGAGATTCATCATTATAAGTTATTTTATTCCTCAGCGCAGAGCCGGTGTCCCGGTCGGCCCTCCAACTGTTTGAAATGTTTCAGCTTAAGCGTTGCGTTTAAGTCAAGTCAAGTCAAGTCATTTTATTTTGTATAGCCCAGAATCGCAAATTACAAATTTGCCTCAGAGGGCTTTACAGTCTGTACACATACGACATCCTCTGCCCCGAAACCCACCATCGGCACAGGAAAAACTCCCCAAAAAATGAAAAAACCCTTACAAGAGGGAAAAAAGGGAAGAAACCTTAGGGAGAACGTCAGAGGAGGGATCCCACTCCCGGGATGGACAGACTACAATGGATGCCATGTGTACAGAATGAACAATGTATAATACATGCAATTCCTATGACAGAAATGATTCAAGTAATTGTGAGTAGTAAGCCAGGCGCACAGCAGGACCACTGCAGAGGCCACCACCATCAGCTAGAACCACCATCCACAGAATCCTGTGGGGAGGGAGAGCACAGAGATTTTAGGAGAGGGTAATGTCGGTTTATGAGTAAAGTAATATGATTAATATATAAAATAATGATGATGATGATGATGATGATGGCAGCAGCTTTTCCCGCGATTATGTTAAATGTCCCGTTTAACATAATCATACATATGTAATACATACATATATACATCATTTAAAAAATGTGGCCAAGTGCCAGACAAATAAACTAGTTTTGCATTGTCACTGTTCTTCTCGAAGCTGGACTCCTTCTTTATGAAGCATATTAAATCAAAGCCCTGTGAATCGTGTTTGCTAATCATGAGAATGGAAGTAGCCCTCGGGCCCCGGACCCCCTCACTGCCCCTGTGTGGCAGTTTATTTGTGGGTTAGTTTGATTAAGTGAAACTTTGTTTGGTACCACAATGTGACGCACACATTTAAGCATTTTGGAGCCTGATTCTGGTGTCGAGTACGTCCTCATCTAGTTAAAGGCAGCCGATACTGCGCTTTGCTCATTTGCGTTCTCATCCAGTGAGCACATAACAAACTTTAAGGCATGTTGGATTTCAAAGACAGAGTGACGGGGTAAATGGGAATCCAGAAGGGCCCGTAAGGGGATGAATCGTGGAGCCAGTTAGTGGTTAAATGCTTTAGAGGAAAATGAGGCGGCCTGCAGTGTTAACAGTGTCAGCTGTACTGTGCTGCATCATCCCTGTCTGCTGTGACCTCATAGAACAATATATAAGACATCTAAAGACGCGTTGCATAGCGTAGTCTTCCAGGTAGGAGATTCTCTGCCGAGGTTTTTAGACATTAATTCCTAATATGAATAATTCCCATGGAAAGAGCAAAACAACTGACGGGTTTATCGAGTATCTGTTTCATCCATTTAATCATCCTGCTGCTGTAAAGCGTCACGATAGCAACAATGTGGATTAATCCACCACAGGAAAAAGTCCCCAACCAACGCGCTGTAAGTACGAGCGTCTTCAGGAGGAGCCGCGGCCTCGGGCCGATGAGAAGATGGACTGTCGCTTCACGTCTCTTCCGTGGGATTTGAGAACAATGATAAAAACAGCTCATGCTTTAAGGCTGCGCTTGGTTTGGACTCGCAGTGTTGTCTCAAAGGCGTAACAGACGGACACTTTTGTCCTCACATGTCCTCACTGGTCCGTTGACCAGAACAGATAGTCGACCACCGCTCCGAAGCCATCGGCTGTCACTCGGCTAGGAATGAAGCTCCGGGGTGAGTCGGGTCGGTCGGGCAGACTATCGTCCCAAAGGCCGGCGCTTATCACGCTCGCGCGTTATTCAGGGCTGTCAATCATGATGTCGGCCGCTCTGATCAGCTGGTCTCTTCTATCCAATAGCAGAATGACACAATTAGCGCCACAGACCTTTAACAGGACTGTATCACATGTCATCTGTTAGTGAACAATGATCTGACCCATTGAAATATTAACTTCAACCATCCTGTAAACGTGATCTTTACACACGGAGCATTTCTTGACTCTCACCACATGTGAGAACATGTGAGAACATGTGAGAGAAACACGCAGAATCCACACGTCCAGGCTGAACCTTCTGTGGCAGCAAGGGAAACGCCCCTGACCCCCACCCTCTCCTCCACCCTCTCATCCACCCTCTCCTCCACCCTCTCATCCACCCTCCCCTCCACCCTCTCATCCACCCTCCCCTCCACCCTCTCCTCCACCCTATCATCCACCCTATCATCCACCTACGCTCCATCCTTTCATCCACCCTCCCCTCAACCTCTCATCCACCCTGCTTGACACCATAACAAGTCTTCCATCGCTGTAAAGCCAAAGTGTCTAAATGAATCACCTCCTGAATGAAGAATCACTTGGAGGGGATCGAGAGCCAGAGGAGGAGAGAGAGGCGGGAGTGTGTGTGTGTGTGTATGTGTATGTGTGTGTGTGTGTGTCTGTGTGTGTGTGTGTTGACAAAGTGAGCAGAATGAATCTACAGGTGCTTTGTTTAATATTCATCATCCATTAAAACAATATCATAGGAAGACGCAGCGTAAATCTGTTTACTTTATCTGGATGTCCAGACCAACGTTATGTATGGAAGGACTGATATTATATATTTCTATTTCTATCATGCCGCTAGAAATCAGTAATGAGATCAGAGCAGTTGTTCGGTTCTGTATTTCTTCACACATTCATTCTCTTTTTAGTTAAGAAAATAACAAAGGTCCAAAATGAAGCAGAATGGTGCAGAAGCAAAAGGTGCCGATTACAAATCTGTACTTCAGCACCCTGGACAGCGCCGTGGATCTGGTGTCAGATTTTGGAGTCTCTTTACATTCAGCTCGATGTCAAGTTATTCAGGTTCCTTTATAGCTAATATCTTGTTATAAAACACAATGTATAAAACTCAATAACTCCCGTTATTCCCATTTCAAATGTCACTGTATTAATAACTGGAGGATTTTAAAATAACATCATTTTCTGGTCCAGCGGGGTTATTTGAATACCGACGCGGCGTCGTCAGCCCATTGGTCACATGTCAGGTTCTTTGTTGGGAATTTCGGTGGATTTTGTGATGAATATAACGCCTTAAGATGCAGAGATGTTGTTTTATTCAGAAGAGTTCCAAAAACTGAGAGAATAAAACTCATTTCATCTCATTTGCTTCTCATTTTCTTTTCATCCATCAAAGCCTGCTGTTTTTTTCCCTTTTTATTGGGATTAAAGAGACTGACCAACTTTTCAAAAGAAGCCTTTGAAGTCAGAGTGGTGTTTGCCAGAGGGGTGTGTGTGTGTGTGTGTGTGTGTGTGTGTGCGTGTGCGTGTGCGCGTGTGCGTGTGTGTGTGTGTGTCTGTGGAAGAGGGACCTTGGCTTCGTCTCATGGTTAAAGACTAAAACAGGGGAAGAGAAGATTATCTGCAGCATCATCAGCCTGCAGACGTCCAGCTGCATCTCAGTCCCGTCCGGGTCTCAATCACAGGGGGGGAGTTTGGGGCCGTAGGGGGCAATGAGGCAGCTCCAGCGGGACCGGTGTGTGTGCAGGAGGGGGGATGAAGCCAGCCTGTGTGGGTGCGGGGGGGGGGGGGCGCTGCAGCAGCCTGGCAGTGACTCAGCACTAGAATCTCCCTCCCAGTCAGATATCTAACACACTAATAGGCCTCTTTGTCCTCCGTCCCAGAAGAGCCGGTCACGACAGCGTCTCGCAGGATTCGGCAGCTGTGTTAAATTGTTCCATCAGATTCAGCTCGTACGTCTTCATCATGCCTGAGTCATAAGTGCACAAAATAGCAACGAGTGCGTTTAAATCAGATTGCGTGTCTGATCACTGATTGCGGTTCCGTCGGCCTCCGGAGCTGTGTTGTCTTTACAAAGGAGCTGAACTGTGAAGGAACGCACATCTCTGATGGAGAGAGCGCTATACAATTGGATAATTGAGGTATTGAGAGAGTCGCCCACATTGACGCATGTGGGACAGAAGGACTCCGATGGTCACGATGGTCGTCAGAGAGAATTGACCCGACGCCGCAGGGCGACACCTCATGGCGACACCTCATGGCGACACCTCATGGCGACACCTCATGGCCTCATTTCTCCTTGTCGGTTCCTCCTCGTTCTCCTTTTCCTCAGTGACTTGCTTCCCCTTTCATTCTTCACTTGTTTTCTCTTTCGTGTTGTTGGTTTTCGCGGAGCGGAGGCTTAACTAGAGCGAAAAAACAGAGCAGCTGAATGGGCGGGAGGTGCAGGTTCATGTCCCTCCTGGCTGGCTCACAGGAAGTGGCACATTACTGCCGACTGAACTCACATCTTCTCTCAATGTGCAGATGTTGGACCAGCTGAGGTCTCCCTTCTGCGTGACTAGAGTTCAAATGCAACGATTCAGATGTTCCTGTCTTCATCACGGTGACTATACAGAACGTGATACTGGGTAGAAATAAATAGCTTCACATTTTCTAGCAATAAATAACTTCTGCTCTGTCCTCCCCCCTCGGTGTGATGCGTTGTTTGCAACGCAGCCAAAATATGACTCACCAGCTACAAAGCCCTAACAACCTGCCCCCCCCCCCCCAACCTTTCAGACCTCCTCCCCCTCCACGCCCCCACCCGGTGCCTCAGGTCCGCTGATGCTAACACCCCGAAGTCCGGACCGGGGGCAACAGGCCCTTCTCGGCTGGTGTGCCCCCCCATCCACATCCGCCAGGCTCCCACGTATCATCATTCAAACAAGACCCACCTCTTCAAAGTGGCCTTCGACTGCCACCTCCTACGTGACTCATTACGCACCGTTTCTCCAGTTGTGGTTCTGTTTGTTTCTTTTGTTTCTCCTCTTTGTCTGTCGTTGGCGAATGTAAAGTCACTGAGTGGATGTATTGTTACACAATTGGCAGAATGTCTCCAA